AAGAACTTTTCCCAGTCATCACGCAAATAAAAATGTTATCTTTCAGCCACTTTTACTGACAAAACTTGCTTGTTCCCATGTGGACGTGGGACCTGTTACCATTTTGTATTGTTTTTTCGGGTTTCTCAAGTTTTATTTATTGTCGACGAATATATTCCCCTGCTTTTTCTAAGCATTTTCCAGGAAACTCCATTTCTTTTGTTTATGGGAGTAGCTGCCAGCTAGAAAGACTCCCAAGTATTTTCCAGGAAAACCGTTGGCTGCCTTTTTCTAAGCATTTTCTAGGAAGGCCGAAACCACTCTTTTGGGTGTTGCTACGACTCTTTTGGGTGTTGCTACGAAGGATCATCAGTAGTTTCGGTGAGGAAATCATTCTTCATTGTTATAATGGCTTCTTCCCCATCTTAAACTCTCTCTTCATCCATAACCTTGTTTCTTCTCTGCAAGCTTTAAGATCTTAATTTTCCAGGTACATACATACATACATATTTGCTTTTTCTACCAATTTCACTCTTCCATTTGTTTGATGCGACACAAATTAAATTAAGAAAATTTCTAACTTCCTCAGTTTGTATTTTTCTGCTCTTTATTTGATACCAGTTCTTTCCGCACCAAAATACCCTGCGCAAGAACTAAGGAGGTCTGCCTGCTTTCTTTGTTATTTTAATCACACAAAGCCCTCTGAGTTGCGGACCAGGTATGATATAATTTTTTCTTTTTTTCTTGATGAAAGGGTATGATATATTTTTTCATAAAAGAGTTTAGAGTTTGATATATTTTGCTTCTCAAAAACTCAAAGAATAAAAGTATATGGAGGAAAAAATGGATCTATAGGCGTTATTCGTTTGGATTGGGCCATTTCCTTATTGGGCTGGTACTGATTTTGGTTAAAATCCTAAAATAGTTTTTGAACTTTAAGATTTTCACTAATTTAGTCCTGAATTTTCAAAAATATTGAAATGGTCCATGAACATAATTTTCTAGCTTCATTCACATTGGAAAAATTCCAAGGATTTGGTGTTGAACTCATAAACAGTTTTTATATAATTTTTAAAATAATGATATGATCATAAACTAATTTAACTAGTTAATAAA